TGTATTTTGTTATCTTCTCCAGTTCTTTCTCGTCTATTCTGCTGTCTCCAGGCACTGCCACGTCCACTATCCAGACTTTTTTGTCTTTCTTATCGACAATTGTTAAGTCTGGGGTGTTACGTTGCAGGTGCTTGTCATTATTATTATTATTATTATTATTATTATTATTGATCATCACACAATCAGCCAGATGTTCAGACTGGATTTGGCATTTTGTCTACCTATCGAGTCCTTACCAAGGACCTGGGATAGGCAGATGTGGATGTTTGATGGTATTACAGGTATCGTCTATTATTATTATTATTATTATTATACATGAACTTCAGTCAGCTGAACATTCAAATTGGCTGGCGCTGATGGTTGTCACGGGTTGCTACCAGCATCCTAGGTGTCAACCAGGTACCTCCTTAAAATGTAAGATGTTCCGTGTAGTGCAGTTTTTTGTAACATTGCTGGAGTTATTGTAGGAAGCTGCAGTTTCTTGATGTGTTTGGCAAAGTTTTTGGACATAGTTCCCAGTGCCCCGATGACAATGGGTATCACTGTTACACGTTTCACCCACAAGCGCGCAGTTTCGATGGCCAGGTCACGATATTTCGTCGTTTTTTCCAGTTCTTTTTCTTCGACTCTGTCATCTCCCGGTATGGCGATATCAATCAGCTGCACGCTTCTGTTCTCTACAACTGCGATATCTGGCACGTTGTGTTCTAAATGGCAATCTGTCTGGATTCGAAAGTCCCACCAGATCTTCACCCTCTCATTCTCAACCACTTTTTCCACCCTGTGTTCCCACGACTTTTCGGACACAGGCAAGTCGTATTTTTTACACAATGCCCAGTGGATTAATTTAGCAACTCGGTCATGTCTAGCTTTGTTGTCAGTTTGCGCGATTTTGCTGCACTCAGAGGTTAGATGTGAAACAGTTTTCACTTTGTCATTGCAAAGTTGGCAATTTGGATTGTCAGTGGATTTTTGTATCTTCGCTTTCATGGGATTAGTTTGTAGTGCTTGTTCTTGAGCAGCCAGTATTAAGCCTTCTTTTTTCTTTCTTTCTTTCTTTCTTTCTTTCTTTCTTTCTTTCTTTCTTTCTTTCTTTCTTTCTTTCTTTCTCTCTCTCTCTCTCTCTTTCGTTTCTTTCTTGATGGTTCCCATCTTAAGCCATGCCCATGTCACCCAGCTGTTTTTCCTTATATTCTGCCTTTGTTTTTGTTATTTTTATAATGCTCTCATCATCATCATCATCATCATTATTATCCTTCAGCCTCTTTTTAATATTAAGAATAAAGAATATTTTATTCTGGGGTGGGGCTTCCTACAACACTAAGCTATCTGGACTTTTTTTGTCTTTCTTATTGACATTTTTTTTTAAGTCTGGGGTGTTATGTGGCAGACACCTGTCTATTTGAATTCTAAAGTCCCAGAGCTTTAGAGCGTCTTCATTTGCTATCATTTTCTCTGTTTGATGGTCCTGCTGGTTCCTGCATGCAGGCAAATGTTATTTCTTGTGGATCTTCCAACGCACCATTGTTGCTACTTCGTCGTGCCGTTGTTCGTAATCCCTCTGTGCGCAATCTTCTTACAGCAGCTAACATTGGGATGATCCCCTGTTGTTTCTTCAGCTTCTTGGCCTAGAGTAGACCAGGGGTAGGCAACCTTGGCTCAGCCACGCTGAGGGGAAAGGGAGAGGTTTCCAAGCTGAACCATGCTGGCTCAGGAATTATGGGAGTTGAAGTCCATGAGTCATGAGGGGGCCATAGTTCCCCCATGCTGGCTCAGCAATTCTGGGAGTTGAAATCCACCAGTCATAAAAGAGCCAAGGTTGCCTACCCCTGGTCTAGATGATAGATAGATAGATAGATAGATAGATAGATAGACAGACAGACAGACAGACAGACAGACAGACAGACAGACAGACAGACAGACCTAGATCAGGGGTAGGCAACCTTGGCTCTTTTATGACTGATGGACTTCAACTCCCAGAATTCCTGAGCCAGCATGGGGGAACTATGGCCCCCTCATGACTCGTGGACTTCAACTCCCAGAATTCCTGAGCCAGCATGGGGGAACTATGGCCCCCTCATGACTCGTGGACTTCAACTCCCAGAATTCCTCAGCCAGCATGGGGGAACTATGGCCTCGTCATGACTCGTGGACTTCAACTCCCAGAATTCCTGAGCCAGCATGGGGGAACTATGGCCCCCTCATGACTCGTGGACTTCAACTCCCAGAATTCCTGAGCCAGCATGGGGGAACTATGGCCCCCTCATGACTCGTGGACTTCAACTCCCAGAATTCCTCAGCCAGCATGGGGAACTATGGCCTCGTCATGACTCGTGGACTTCAACTCCCAGAATTCCTGAGCCAGCATGGGGGAACTATGGCCCCTTCATGACTCGTGGACTTCAACTCCCAGAATTCCTCAGCCAGCATGGGGAACTATGGCCCCGTCATGACTCGTGGACTTCAACTCCCAGAATTCCAGCATGGCTCAGCTTGGAAACCTCTCCCGTTCCCCTCAGCATGGCTGGCTCAGGAATTCTGGGAGTGGAAGTCCACGAGTCCTAAAAGAGCCAAGGTTGCCTACCCCCTGGCCTAGACGACGTTTGCTGTCTGTTGCTCCCTTCTCAATTCTGGCTTTGCGTACATTTGTTGTTAATTATTCTTAATTCCTCTTAATTGCTATTACCGGTTTCCTAGAATGGAACAGCAGATCTGCTGGTCTTAAAATGTCATTTTTATAAGAATGCTTTAGTTGAGGGGTGGGCGGGGGGGGGGAAGCAAGATAAGCTGATGGCAGGAGACAAGTTGTGATTCATCTCCAGAAAGAGAGGAATTTGCAATATGAGGCTGCCAACAAAATTTCATCAGAATTCTGTCTCTCTCCCTCTCCCTCCCTCCCTTTCTTTCTGCCTCTGAATCAAATTTGACACCTGGAAAGAATAAAATGCGGTTTGCGGTACCTTGCCACTTTTCGTAGACTTAACCCTCTGGGCAGATGTCAGAAAACAGAGCAAAGAGAGAAGAGAGGGATGAAAATTCAGCGAGGCTGGAACGAATCTTCTTCTCTTCTGACCATTTTTCACTGTCTAATCTTACATTTTTGTTTCTGCTCCTTTTGATTTGCAGCTTCCTGGGAGCCTGGGGGGGGGGGCGGGAAATAGGCGAGTTTTTTTTTTCTTAACATCTCCATTTTGGGAGAAAATGACTCCTCGTGTAAGCAGCCTCCAAAACGAGATCTTTCCCTAATTTAGAAACTGAAGTTTATTTAGAGCAGTGTTTCTGAACCTCAGCGTGTTTAAGAGGGGTGGACTTCAACTCCCAGAATTCCCCAGCCAGCATATGTTGTATATGCATAATATGCAGCAGTTGCAGCCAAAAGAAGCAAATACAATCCTGGGTTGTGTCAACAGAGGCGTAGGATCAAAATCATGACAAGTATTAGTACTCCTTTATAAAGCTTTAGTAAAGCCACACCTGGAATACGGCATCCAGTTTTGGCCCCCACGTTACAAAAAAAAGATGTTGAGACTTTGGAAAAAGTGCAGAAAAGGGCAACTAAGATGATTAAAGGCTTGGAGACAAAAACACATGAACGGTTGCAGGTTTTGGATATGGCTAGTTCTAGAGAAAAGAAGGACGAGGGGGGACGTGATAGCAGTCTTCCAATATCTCAGGGGCTGCCCCAAAGAAGAGGGAGTCAAGCTATTCTCCAAAGCACCCGAAGGCAGGACAATTGGGCATGTCAAATTTAATGAAGAGAAGGACGAGGGGGGACACGATAGCAGCCTTCCAATATCTCAGGGGCTGCCCCAAAGAAGAGGGAGTCAAGCTATTCTCCAAAGCGCCTGAAAGCAGGACAAGAAACAATGGATGGAAACTAATCAAGGAGAGAAGCAACCTAGAACTAAGGAGAAACTTCCTAACAGGGAGGACAATTAACCAGTGGAACAGCTTGCCACCAGGTGCTCCATCACTAGAGGTTTTTAAGAAGAGACTCGGCAGCCACCTGTCTGAAATGGTATAGGGTCCCCTGCTTGAGCAGGAGGTTAGACTAGAAGACCTCCAAGGTCCCTTCCAGCTCTGAAGCATCTTAAACAGGCCAAGGTTGAGAAACAGGGATCTAGAGAATTCAAATCCACTTTGAGCATCGGATGACTTTGGACCAGTCCCTCTCTCAGCAAAGCTACCTTGCCACCGTTGTGCTTGGTGAACCTGGAAGAAAAAAAAGACTACATGTAACCCTTGACATATGACCATAATGGAGCCTAACCATTATGGGGAATAGGAAGAGAAGAGAAGAAAAGAAAAGAAAAGAGAAGAAAAGAGAAGAAAAGAGAATTACAGAATAGAATGGAATGGAACGGACTGGAATAGAATAGAATAGAATAAAATAGAATAGAATAGAATAGAATAGAATAGAATAGAATAGAATAGAATAGAATAGAATAGAATAGAATAGAATAGAATAGAAATTAGACTACATTAGACTAGACTGGAATGGAATGGAATGGAAATTAGATTAGAATAGAATAGAAATTAGAATAGAATAGAATAGAGAATAAATAGAATAGACTAGACTAGAAATCAGACTAGACTAGAATAAAATAGAATAGAATAGAAAATAGAATAGAATAGAAAATAGAATAGAATAGAATAGGTTGGAAGGGACCTTGGAGGTCATCTAGTCCAACTCTCCCCCCCCCGCTCAGGCAGGAAGCCCTATCCCATTTCAAACAAACGGCTGTCCAGTCTCTTCTTAAAAACCTCCAGTACGGGAGCATTCACAACTTTTGGAGGTTCCACTGGTTAATTGTCCTAACAGTCAGGAAGGTTCTCCTTAGTTCCAGGTTGTAGGTCGTCACACTCCAGTTGAGTGAGATGCTCCTCAGAGGACATCCCAACCTACTTGTGTAGAGGATTATGCTGTAATAGATGATGAGGTTGGTGGTAATGGTGACGATGGTGATAATGATGGATGCTTTTTTGTTCCCATCTCTCAGGAAAGATGGATCCCTTCAGCACTAAGAACCTGGCTCTCCAAGCTCAGAAGAAGCTGCTGAGCAAGATGGCTTCCAAGAACATGGCCAGCATCTTCATCGACGACACCAGCAGCGAGATCCTGGACGAGCTGTACCAGGTCACCAAGGAATTCACTCACAATCGCAAAGAAGCCCAGAAGGTCATCAAGAACCTGATCAAGATCGTCGTGAAGTTGGGCCTGTTGTACCGCAACAAGCAGTTCGGCGTGGAAGAGCTGGCCTTGATGGACCGCTTCCGCAAGAAGGTCCACACCTTGGCCATGACCGCCGTCAGCTTCTACCAGATAGACTTCACCTTTGACCGCCGGGTCATGGCCAACATGCTCAACGAATGCCGGGACCTGCTCCACCAAGCCATCAACACTCACTTGACCGCCAAGTCCCACTCTCGGATCAACCACGTCTTCAACCATTTTGCGGACTTCGAGTTCCTCTCGGCCCTCTACGGCTCTTCCGAGCCTTACCAGACCCACCTGCAGCGGATCTGCGAAGGGCTGAGCCAAATGCTGGATGAAGGCAACATCTGAAAAAAAAAACTCCACTGTTGTCTTGAGGACCCAGCTGTGGGACTCCGTTGCTCTGGATGTGCTTCTGATGTAATTGAGTGGTATTTTAAGAATGAGATGGTGTGGGGTGTGTTTTGTTTTGTTTTGTTTTAGTTATGGATGGCTTCACCTTGGGTTTTTCCATGGTCCTCTCCCGTTTTCTCCAAGGAATGAGCGGGGTTGGTAAAGGTTTTGGAGAAAGGCACTTACTGTAGGGCCACCCACCATTTCTTGGGTTTATTGATTTATTGGAGAGCACAATTAAAGGCCATCTCCAGATTTCGTCTCTGAACAGGACAGAATAGCAGAATTGGAAGGGACCTTGGAGGTCTTCTAGTCCAACCCCTTGCTCAGGCAGGAAACACTATAGCATTTCAGACAAATGGTTGTCCAATCTCTTCTTTACAACATCCAGTGTTGGAACATCCACAACATTTGAAGACAAGCTGTTCCACTGGTTAATTGTTCTGACTGTTAGGTAATTTCTCCTTCGTTCTAGCTTGGATTTCTGTTCGACGAGTATCCATCCGCTGCTTCTTGTCCTGCTTTCAGGGGCTTTGGAGAATAGCTTGACTGCCTCTTCTTTGGGGCAGCCCCTGAGATACTGGAAGACTGCTATCCTGTCCCCCCTGGTCCTTCTCTTCATTAAGCTAGACATACCCAATTCCAGCAACCGTTTTTTATATGTTGTGGCCTCCAGTCCCCTGATCACCTTTGTTGCTCTTCTCTGCACTTCTGCATCTGGTTTTCTAGAACAGAAGATGCACCCATGGAAGCAACTACTAAACCAAAGATTTAATTTGGTTGGGTCTGCTAACTCTGGCAGTCTTTTGCCGATCTTTTCAAGGCTCTCCTTTGGCCAAGTGGGACTTTGGTGGGCCTTTTTCCCAACGTGGCCGGCATTCTAGAGGCACATAAAGTCAACACTTAAAGGTCCCAATGAAGTCTTTCTCCTCCTCCTCCTCCTCCTCCTCCTCCTCCTCCTCCTCTCCACACATCCATCTAGCACTGATGATGTTCCCTAGTTAGGGTAATGAAACGTCTGCAAGAAAACAAGCAAGCTCAGAGAGCACCAAGCACCCCAGTCTTTCTCCTCCTCCTCCTCCTTCTCCTCCTCCTCCTCCTCCTCCTCCTCCTCCTCCTCCTCCTCCTCCTCCTCCTCCTCCTCCTCTTCCTCCTCCTCCTCCTCCTCCTCCTCCTCTCCACACACCCGTCTCCCTTTTAGCATTGATGATGTTTCCTATTTGGGTAATGAAACATCTGCAAGGAAACAAGCAAGCTCAGAGAGCACCCAGGACCCCTCACTTAAATGTCCCCTTCCATCCAGCAGTTCATTTAGCCTGGCAATCAGCAGGCGCTCCTGTGGAAATACTTAAAAGTTGGAAGGAACCTTGAGGACATCCATCCGATCCAAGAGAAAAGCTGCATTAAAGCACCGACAACAGATGGCTGTCCAGCCTTCACTGTCAAAAATCAAAGGACTGTTTTTTCCCCCCGTGTAACATTCATTCTAGATCAGTGGTTCTCAACCTTTTTAATGCCGTGACCCCCCCAACCGGTCGTAAGTCGAGGACTACTCAATCGGTCATAAGTCGAGGACTACTCAAGTGGTGCAGCACCGTTTGCAGAATGGGACTTTTGGCGGGCTCAGCAGGGCAGAGACAGCCTGGACAATTCCTATTGGCTTTTGAAAGCCAATAGAATTAGACTCTATTCAAGAGAGTCTCTCCTATTGGCTTTCAAAAGCCAATAGAATAAAAGGGAGTAGCACAGCTAAGGAAAAGGGGAAAAAAATGGCGGACTGTGTTGTTTGGCGACCCCCGTGAAATGGTCGTTCGACCTCAAATGGGGTCCCGACCCACAGGTTGAGAACCACTGTTCTAGATTCTGTCTCCACTGTAATTTGATTTTGTGCCCTGCCCTCTGGAGGAGTGTTTTTCAAACTTGGCGACTTTAAGATGGGTGGATGCCCGGAATTCTTCAGCCAGTGTGGTTTAAGATGAGTATCTATGGAGATTCTTGATAAATCCTTCCATTCCCCACCAACCAGTCAGAATTGAAGAAGCTTCTTGGATAAGAAACAAAACATCTTCAAAGAAAAGGAAGAACATCCAGTTGCCTCTTGGGTTTTTAGATGGGTGGACTTCAACTCCCAGGATCCTCCAGCCAGCATGCTTTAAGATGGGTGGACTTCAACTCCCAGAATTCCCCAGCCAGCATACTTTAAGATGGGTGCTCTTCAATGGCCAAAATTCCCCAGCCAGCATTGCTTTAAGATGGGTTGTCTTCAATGGCCAGAATTCCCCAGCCAGCATTGCTTTAAGATGGGTGGACTTCAATTCCCAGAATCCCCTAGCTGACATGCTTTAGGATGGGTGGACTTCAGCTCCCAGAATTCCTCAGCCAGCTTGCTTAGGATGGGTGGACTTCAACTCCCAGAATTCCTCAGCCAGCTTGCTTTAAGATGGGTGGACTTCAACTCCCAGAATTCCTCAGCCAGCATGCTTTAAGATGGATGGACTTTGACTCCCAGAATCCCCTGGTCAGCATGCTTGGAAAACAAACCTTCCAACTGTTTCATCTAACTGAAAATGCTGGGAAAAGCCCGAAATAAAATAAAAATAAAAATATCTTCCTCTCCTGGATGACTCCAGTTCCTTAGAAAGGCTGGCAAGGAAGTTGCTTGGCAAAATGTTTTTTTCCTTTGATTCTTTCCAGAAATTAGTGCGAAGTGCAGATGGGTTGGGTTTGTGTGTGTGTGTGTGTGTTTGGTTGTTTGAACAGTTACAACCCTGCCCCTCCGGGCTATTAAACTATTTGTTGAAGTACAGACTTCACTGAAAGAGAAATAATGCCAGATCTCGTCCTGTGTTCCCCACCCACATTCTGGCAGAGTGAAGGAGGAAGAAGAAAAGAATGCGAGTCGGCCTTTAGGATTTGATCTCTGCAGATCCCTCTAATCTGGAATGCTCCCTGCAGATAGCAAACCGTATTCTACCTTCGCTTGGAGCACCAAAATAAAATCGGAAGGAATCTGGGAGCGCCCTTTTGGGAACGCGCCAATTTTATTGGGATGCCGCGTTCAAGTCTCGAAGTCCAAATTTTGAATTCTTGGGAAAAAAAAAAAAAAAGGACCTTTGGGGCATTCGGTCCTAGAAGCACCAAATCAGGGATATTTGAAATGGGATAAGGTTTCTTGCCTGAGCAGGGGATTGGACTAAATCAGGGGTAGGCAACCTTGTGGACTTCAACTCCCAGAATTCCTGAGCCAGCCATGCTGAGGAGAAAGGGAGAGGTTTCCAAGCTGAGCCATGCTGGCTGAGGAATTCTGGGAGTTGAAGTCCACGAGTCCTGATGGGGGCCATAGTTCCCCCATGCTGGCTCAGGAATTCTGGGAGTTGAAGTCCATGAGTCATAAAAGAGCCAAGGTTGCCTTATCCCTGGTCGGTCAGTCAGTCTGTCTGTCATCTAGGGCAGGGGTAGGCAACCTTGGCTCTTTTATGACTGGTGGACTTCAGCTCCCAGAATTCCTGAGCCAGCATGGCTCAGCTTAGAAACCTCTCCCTTTCCCCTCAGCATGGCTGGCTCAGGAATTCTGGGAGTTGAAGTCCACCAGTCATAAAAGAGCCGAGGTTGCCTACCCCTGGCCTAGGGGATTCTGGGAGTTGAAGTCCCAGATCAGGGGTAGGCAACCTTGGCTCTTTTATGACTGGTGGGCTTCAACTCCCAGAATTCCTCAGCCAGCATGGGGGAATTATGGCCCCTTCATGACTTGTGGACTTCAACTCCCAGAATTCCTCAGCCAGGCACGCTGGCTGAGGAATTCTGGGAGTTGAAGTCCACAAGTCATAAATGGGCCAAGTTTGAAGACCCCTGACCTAGATAGTGGACAAGGCAAGAGACTCGGAGGAAACCCTCTCTATTTTCTCAGCCTCTAAAGAGGGGGAGGAGAGATAATAATATAATAATAATAGTAGTAGTAGTAGTAATAGTAATAACAACAACAATAGTAAAGTTGGAAGGGACCTTGGAGGTCATCTAGTCCAACCCCCTGCTCAGGCAGGAAATCCCAGGGAAGGGTCAAATAGGAGAGGGTGTAGCCCAAAGCTGCATAGCAGGTGGAGAAAGAGACACAATCAGAACAGAGCTGGAAGGGACCTTGGAGGTCTTCTAGTCCAGCTCCCTGCTCAAGCAGGAGACCCTATATACCCTTTCAAACAAGTAGCTGTCCAGTCTCTCCTTAAAAAACCTCCAGTGATGGAGCACCCACAACTTCTGGTGGCCAGCTGTTCCACTGGTTAATTGTTTTCGTGGAAGTTTCTCCTTAATTCCAGGTTGCTTCTCTCCTTGGTTAGCTTCCACCCATTGTTTCTGGTCTTTCCTTTTGGTGCTTTGGAAAATAAGTTGACTCCCTCCTCTCCTTCTCTTTGGGGCAGCCCCTCAAATACTGGAAGACTGCTATCCTGTCACCCCCTAATCCTTCTTCTCATTAAAGTAGGCTTACCCAATTCCTGCAGCCGTTCTTTATATTTAGTTTTAGTCTCCAGGCCTTTCACCATCTCCGTTGCTCTTCTCTGCGGCTGATGTTCTGTGCCTCCAAGCCTCCCCGTTCTGGCAAGAACTTCGGGGCCCCAAAGGGATTAGCCACCATTAACCGCAACCAGGAAAGTCTGCCGGATGTGGGTTTAAGAAAAACAAGGCATCCGCATTGCAAAACCTGGGTACTCCAATCGAGGTTCTGCCTGTGGTTTTTTTTTTTTTTTTTAATCTGCCCGTAGATAATTGCAAAGCTTCTTGCTGAGGTGACTGCCCTGTGTGCCGAAACCTCTGGCGCCCATCACAACAGCAGAATGTTCACAACATTCTGACTCAACAATATTCTGGTTTGTTTTCTTCCCGTTTTTCCATTGTCCCGGATCTGGTTTACCAGTGGAGCAGGCAAGCCTCGTTCCTGAGCTGTATGTGGCTTAGCATGATGGATAATTGTTGGGCTAAGCAATACTAGTTTGCTACATAAATTATAATTGGCTGTGTTTCTGTTTCACATTAAGCCAACATCCGGAGAAGACATAACGTGGCTTAGCATGATGGATCATTGGGCTAAGCTATACTAGTTGGCAGCATAAACTATAATTGGCTGCATAAGCTATAATTGGGGAATTCTGGGAGTCTAAAAGGGGTCAAGATTGGACATCCCTGGTGTAAACAGTGCGACAGCAGCAACATGGGTGTTTGTCCCAGAGTTTGGGCAAATGTTTTGTTTTTAAGCCCCACCTGGGAATCTGGTAGATCACCCAGGGATCCACCTCATTTTGAGCAAAGTGAAAGAAATTGAAAAGAAGGTCAACACACTGAACGGGCACCCAGCCAAGCACAGCTGGCGTAGGCCATCTCGGCACGCTGCCCTTTTGGAGAATGGCTTTCTGAGTAGGCAGTCTTTTGTCTGCAAACCAGCATTCCTGCAAGCCCACATTGGAACACATTTGCTCATGACATTAAAACGGTGGAAACAGAAAACCCTTCGATGCATAACAGCATTCAAACGTGAAATGGTTTTGATGGTGGTCAGATGCCAGCCAGAAGCTGAACCGGCCTGAGGACTAGGTGCATAAATTGTGTCAAGCCATGCTAGGTAATATAGTTTATACTGCATTAAACCATAATTAGCTGTGTTTCTACTTTCCCCTAAACTGACATCTAAAGAATAATTCTTAAGCTATGCCATACTAGTTTACTGCACGAACTATAATTATCTGTGTTTCTGTTGCACATTAAGCCAACATCTGTAGAAGACACAATGTGGCTTAGCATGATAGATAATTGTTTGGACTAAGCCATACTAGTTTGCTGCATAAACTATAATTAGCTGTGTTTCTGTTTCACACCTAACCAACATTTTGAGGAGACACATTGTAGTTTAGCATGATGCATAATTGTTGTGCTAAACATGCTAAGTTTTCTGCATAAACTACAATTTGGTTGGCGCTAAACCAACACAAACTACTTCTGCACAAACTACTATGTTTGGTTTGCACTAAACCAACAGCTGAAGAAGACAAAATGAAGTTTCCCAATCATGGTTATAACACGTGATGGTCATAAAATGAGCTGGTCATGTGTCGGATCGGATTTTATGACCTTTTTTCCACTGGTCATTAAGTGGATCCTCATAGGTGTTAAGTCTATCTGCAGCCTGGTTGGACGTGTGTGTGTGTGTGTGTGTGTGTGTGTGTGTGTGTGTGTGTGTGTCCTTGGACCATGCTTTCAGGAACACTGGTCTAGGAGAGTGGATAGCTCCGAAGCGTGGCAACTGGAAGATGGGTGGACTTCAACTCCCAGAATTCCATAGGTGGGGGTCTAATGACCTCTGAGGAGCCTCCATATTCAAGAGCATTCTGCCTTGAAATAACTCGAGCAGTGTTTCCCAATCTTCGCAATGTCAACTCCCAGAATGAAGCTTTCCCCATCATGGTTGTAACACCTGATGGTCATAAAACGGGCTGGTCATGTGTCAGACCGGATTTTATGACCTTTTTTACAGCAGTCATTAAGTGAATCACGGTTGTTAAGTGAATTTGCAACCCAGTTGGACTCCTGGGGATCACGCTTTCAGGAATACTGGCCTAGGGGAGTAGATAACTCACAAGCTTGGCAAGTGGCAAGACAGGTGGACTTCAACTCCCAGAATTCTCCCCTGCTGGCTGGGGGATTCTGGGAGTTGAAGTCCACATCTCTTAGGCGCTGGTATTCTAGCACATCTGTATTTTGTCTTCCGGTTTAAACACAGAAAAGATGCAATCCTGCAGGGAATCAGCTGCAGGAATTCCAGCTTTTTTGTGTCCCTAGCTGCCGAAGGCCTTCATGGGAAGGCGCAGATGGCGGCCCAGCTGGTGTCACAACCCTTGTGATGAACCACAACCACACTGCAGGTGAGGGACTCTGCCAAGCCAGAGGCGGAAACCCGGACAGGGAGGGACGCTCGGCTGCAGAGTTGTCCGACTCGTTTGTCAACCTCTGGAAAGGGTTTATTATTCACGATGCGGTCCGGGAAACCAAGCCAGGGTGGCTGGCGTCATTGAAAGCACACAAGGGCAGGAAGTGTTTTGCTGCGATGTTGACAGGTGTGGGTTGTTCCCCCTTTGTGCGGTCTTCCAGGCCTGCTACTCAAGAGTTGCGTAAGACAAAACAAATACTGGAGTAGGAGTCGCGTCTTAACACAGAAGATTCTTCAAAGGGAAGACACAGGTGGCCCTCGACTCGTGAGCACCATCGTTGCTAAGCGAGGCAGTCGTTAAGTGGGGTTTGCCCCGTTTTACGACCTCTCTCGCCATCATTGTGAAGTGAATCACTGGGGTTGTTAAGCTAGGAACACCGCTGAAATCGGTGGCTTGGATTAAGAAAAAGAAAAACAATGTTGTTTCCACTGGGAAACCGCTGGTGGACTTTGTGCTTGGGGTGGGGAAAAAAATGAAATTTGATTCTGAGTTTTGCACATTAGATAGGTTTGTTGTTACAGAAATGGCTAGTATAAATTATTGCATAAAAGCAAAAAGGTGAGCTGGCGTATTATGATAGGTGGTCCCCGACTTACGACCGCAACTGAGCCCAAAATTGACATTGCGAAGTGAGACGTTTGCGAAGTGATTTTTCTCGCCATTTTGTGACTTTTCTTACCGCGTTTGTTAAGTGAATCCCTGCAGCTGTTAAATGAGTAACGCCGTTGTTAAGTGAATCGGGCTTCCCCCGTTGCTTGTCGGAAGGGCGCAAAAAAGGGGATCGTGTGACCCCAGGACGCTGCCACCGTCGTAAATATGAGTCGGTTGTCAAGCATCCGAATGTCAAACACATGACTATGGGGATTCTGCAACGGTCGTAAGGGTGAAAAATGGTCATAAGTAACTTTTTTCAGTGATGTCACTTTGAATGGACACTAAATGAAGTGTTGTAAGTCAAGGACTATCTGAACTTTATTCTACTGCGCCAAAAAGTCAGAGATCAATGTTTTTCTTTTCCTTTTTACCTTCACCTTCCCTCCTTTTCTATTATTTTCCATTTTCTTTTTGTATTTTATATTTTGATAAACTAATATAAATTGGGTGGGTGACAACTCCCAGAATCCCCCAGCCAGCATGCTTCAAGATGGGTGGACTTCGACTCCCAGAACCCCCCAGCCAGCATGCTTCAAGATGGGTGGACTTCAACTCCCAGAATCCCCCAGCCAGCATGCTTCAAGATGGGTGGACGTCAACTCCCACAATTCCCCAGCCAGCATGCTTCAAGATGGGTGGACGTCAACTCCCACAATTCCCCAGCCAGCATGCTTCAAGATGGGTGGACGTCAACTCCCACAATTCCCCAGCCAGCATGCTTCAAGATGGGTGGACTTCAACTCCCAGAATCCCCCATCCAGCATGCTTTAAGATGGTGGACTTCAATTCCCAGAGTTCCCCAGCCAGCATGCTTCAAGATGAGTGGACTTCGACTCCCACAATTCCCCATCCAGCATGCTTTAAGATAGGTGGACTTCAACTCCCAGAGTTCCCCAGCCAGCATGCCAACTCTGCTATGGAGAAATGGATCTTTTTTTTTTTCAGCCATTCTCTTCCCCTTCACACCAGCTTTTTCTAGGGAGGACTAAATAACCCGGGTTTAGCTCTTCTCACAACAGTGGATGGAGTCAGTTCAATCTGGGGCGCAATTAAGTCTAATTTAAATTTAAAGGAGGGAATTAGCATTCGCGGGGGTGCTCGGGTTGGTATGTCAAAACGTCAAGGTGACAGCTGCAATTACGGGATCAAACTCCACCCGCTGACTTTTGTTCCTCTCCACACGGGATGATGCTCCTGTTAGCCGCCCCATTAAGCGTGCGGTGCTGCAAGTTCATGTTGCCAGCCTGAATCCATAAACTGGACAGTGTTTTAGCTTCACGCAATGTGTGGTTCCAGGTTGGGCAATTGTGAAGGCTTGTGCAACTGAATTGAATAAATTTTAGATCTAGGGCAGTGGTTCTCAACCTTTTTAATGCCGCGACCCCCAACTGGTTGTAAGTCGAGGACTACTCAACCGGTCGTAAGTCAAGAACTACTCAACTAGTGCAGTACTGTTTGCAGAATGGGACTTTTGGCGGGCTCAGCAGGGCAGAGACAGCCTGGACAATTCCTATTGGCTTTGGAAAGCCAATAGAATTAGACTCTATTCAAGAGAGTCTATTCTATTGGCTTTCAAAAGCCAATAGAATAAAAGGGAGTAGCACAGCTAAGGAAAAGGGGGGAAAAAATGGTGGACTGCGTTGTTTGGCGACCCCCGTGAAATGGTCGTTCGACCCCAAATGGGGTCCCGGCCCACAGGTGGAGAACCACTGATCTAGAGGTCTCCAACCTCTGGGCTGCAGTGTGCTATCCCTCCACAGCTCGTTTAATGACCGTTCCAAGTTATGACGGTCCTGAAAAAAAGCGACTTACCACCGTTTTTCACACTTACGACCGCTGCAGCCTCTCCGTGGTCACGTGGTCCAAATTCAGACGCTTGGCAACTGACTTGTATTTATGACGGCTGCAACGTCCCAGGAGTCACGCGATCCCTTTTCGACCTCTGACGAGCCAGATTCACTTAACGGCCATGCGACTAACAACTGCAGCGATTCACTTAACGACATCGGCAAGACAGGACGTAAAATGGGGCAAAACTCACTTTAGCAAAGATCTCGCTTTGCCGCAGAAATTTGGGGCTGAATTGTGGTCTACCGATATCGCCTCCTCTTTTGTTAAGGGAAACTGAGGCAGAAAGGCAGGCGGAAACCAGCTGGATTTGAGGATATAAACATGGTTTTATTCATACGGTTGCTCCTTATCCACGGGGTGACTCATTTTGGGATAATCGTTCGACTGATACATGGGGAAGAGATTGCGGGCAGTGAAAGAAACTTTGTGGAGGGGATTATGCGCACTTGCACGCACGCACACACTAATACCTGCAGAGGGATCGACTTTCCACATGTCTTTTTTTTTGGCTAAATCCTGCTCCGAGGGAATGCAGTCAGATCCTTTGCAATTCAGTTTTTGCAGCACCGGATCCGAGACGCAGTAATCACGTCCCTGGCTCGCTTCTCGCGCAGCCCGGAACTCCCCCGGTGCCACGGAAGAACAGCGTGGAAGGAGCTATCGAGTCCAAGGGGTCTCACGTGTGGCTCCCGTTTCTTCCCCCAAGGTGTTCTTCTAAAGCGGTGCTCAGGTGGGCCTCAGGATCCGGGAAGGGAGACTCTCCCACCAGGAACAGACGAGATCCCACTGGATTTCTTCTCCAGGGCCACGAGGGAGACGGGCTCACAGTTCATCGTGGGATTTTTCGGCCACGATCATCAACTTGGCGAGTTGAGAGTGGAATTTGCCCTCCCGGTGAGACACTGGAAAGAGGAAGAAGAGGGTAGGCAGGTGGGACTCCGAGGTGGTGGGACCGCCGGTTGGCAGGCGGGCTGCCGAGACCGGCGAGCAAAAGTCAACCGCAACGGGAGATGAAGAGGGAAGATTTTTCATTTAACATTTGATTTAATGTTAAATTTACACAAGCTCAAAATTTGAGAGAAAATTTTTATAAAATATTCTATAGATGGCACTTAGATCCTAAAAAATTATCTTGCATGTATTCCAATATACAGCCCAATTGTTGGAGATGTGGCAATAATGATGCGACATACTTTCATATTTGGTGGAATTGTAAAAAAGTAAAGGCTTTTTGGATTATGATTTGGTGGAACATTCAAAAGATTTTTAGAAAAAAGAGAAAGTTTACTCCTCAACTATTTTTACTTGGTATTTTTGTTGACTTAAATGAAAAAGAAACTACTTTGATGTTGAATTTATTAACTGCAGCAAGTTTACTAGTAGGTTTATATTGGAAGAAAGATTCTTTGCCTACTTTAGAAGAATGGATATTTAAAGTATCTAGTTTTGCAGAAATGGCAAAAATTTCTGCTTATTTAAAGGATCATACACAAGAAAGATATATTACTGTATGGGGAAGGTGGATAGATTATATTCAGAAAAAATATGGAATTAAAAAGTTTCATTTATTTTATGAATGAATATTAAATATTATAGAGAATTGTTTTATAGGTTATGGAGTTAAAGGTTAGTTATGATTTTTTTTCCTCTTTTTTTTCTTTTTTCTTAATTATTATATTTTTTTTTATTATTATTAACCCTGTATTCTGCTCTGGGAAGTGAAGGGAGGGGGGTTGGGGGTGGGAGAGAAAGGGGGGGGGTTTCTATTTTAAAATTTAATTGTATTTTTATAAATGATTGTATGTTTAAAAATAAAAAATTTTCAACAACAAAAGAGGGAAGATTTTTCAGGAATTTTGGCCTTGGGGCCTACTCTAGCTGAATTGGAAAAAAAATCAAACCAATGGTTTGGCCAACGGAGAAGAATTATTATTTTTTTTAAAAAAAAAAATAATTAAAAAGCCGCTAGCTCTAACTACAGTGAATAAGTCTACGCAATCTGAGCTGTGGGGGGTCCTTGGTGGTTGCCCCCCCTTCAAGCTAATTGGGGAATGTGATTTATGACTGTTAATTAGAGGAAGGAAGTGCTTTGATACTATGTGCCCAGGGGAGGGGAATTCAGTTTTTGGCTTCGATTATGCAGTGCCGATATTATGCTACCCGAATAAAAGATTCTTGAAGGTAAACAATGCCCCCAAGTTCTTTGGAAGAGTTTCATCTGTCGGAACCGTGACACTCTGCTTATCTGGGTCTTGACTGCTAACAAGCTAACAAAACTTTTAATCCCTTGGTTTTTATACTTTTAATATGATTTTCTTTCTCTTCTACGTTTTTGATTGGGAGCCGCCTAGAGCTGGTGGAAAGACGGGCGGCTATCTGAAGGTTACAAATAAATGAATAAAACAAACTCACCTGTCTGTTCCGTGACCAAGAATTCCTCCTCTTTTAATGGGACGTCTTCCTGGCCACCGACGCCAGCCGCGGACTAAAAGACAGAAAACCCATCAACAGGAATGTCCAAAGGGCTCGACCCCACCCGCTATTGTAATGGCCTATCCCTGGGATAAGAGGGAGGTGGGCCCAGAGCAGGGGTAGGCAACCTCGGCTCTTTTATGACTGGTGGACTTCAAGTCCCAGAATTCCTCAGCCAGCCATGCTGAGGGGAAAGGGAGAGGTTTCCAAGCTGAGCCATGCTGGCTCAGGGATTCTGGAAGTTGAAGTCCACGAGTCATAAAGTGGCCTAGGCCTAGGCCAGGGGCAGGCAACTTTGGTTCTTTGATGACTCGTAGACTTCAACTCCCAGAATTCCTGAGCCAGCATGGTTGAGCTTGGAAACCTCTCCCTTTCCCCTCAGCGTGGCTGGCTCAGGAATTCTGAGAGTTGAAGTCCACGAGTCATAAAAGAGCCAAGGTTGTCTACCCCTGCCCTATACCATTTCAGACAAATGGCTGTCCAGTTTCTTCTTAAAAACTTCCAGTGTTGGAGCATTCACCGCTTCTGGAGGCAGGTGGTTCCACTGGTTAATTGTTCTCACTGTCAGGAAGTTTCTCCTTAGTTCTAGGTTGCTTCTCTCCTTGATTAGTCTCCATCCTTTGCTTCTTGTCCTGCCTTCAGGTACTTTGGAGAAGTGCTTGACTCCCTCTTCTTTGGGGCAGCCCCTGAGATATTGGAAGACTGCTATCATGTCCCCCCTCGTCCTTCTCTTCATTAAACTAGACATATCCAATTCTAGCAACAATTCCAGCGTCCTTTATGTGTTTTAGTCTCCAGTTCCCTGATCATCTTTGTTGCTCTTCTCTGTTAGTTCTGTCTATCGCTGTTACCGTAGTTCTGTCTGGGCCTCCTAGCAGAAGCCTCTGGACCCTTCCCTATCGGGGGGGTTTAATCGCTCTTTTTTTTAATATGCTATTTTCTATTGTCCACAGCGTTGTCCTTATATTGCATAATTTTTATCTACAGGTAATCCTTGACTTGCAACAGTCCGAAATTGTAACGGCACACTTACGACCGTTGCAGCACCCCTGGCGGTCACGTGATCAAAATTCAGACGCTTGGCAACTGGTTCATATTTACGACGGTCGCAGCGTCCCCGGGGGGTCACGTGATCCCCCTATGGCGACCTTTCTGACAGGCAAAGTCAATGGGGGAAGCCAAGTTTGTTGAACAACCACAGTGTTACTGATTTAACAACTGCAGCGATCCGCTTAAGAAACGTGGCGGGACAAGTTGTAAAAAGGGGCCAGACTCACTTAACAATGTAAATTTGGGGCTCTGTTGTGGCCATAAGTGGTGGATCACCTGTACTAAGTATGTGTACACCTTATCGGTCCCAATATAAGGATGGAGCTGGTTCGGTGGCGCCTCCTAATGGTCGGTGGAAAATATAACAAGGGCCAAGAATTTTTGTAGTAAGCGAACTCATAAACCGGGGGTCTTCAAACTTGGCCCTTTCATGACTTGCGGACTTCAACTCCCAGAATTCCTCAGCCAGCATGGGGGAACTACAGGCCCTTTCATAACTTGCGGACTTCAACTCCCAGAATTCCTCAGCCAGCATGGGGGAACTATGGCCCCTTCATAACTTGTGGACTTCAACTCCCAGAATTCCTCAGTTTCATGGGGGAACTATGGCCCCTTCATGACTTGCGGACTTCAACCCCCAGAATTCCTCAGCCAGCATGGGGGATCTACAGGCCCTTTCATAACTTGCGGACTTCAACTCCCAGAATTCCTCAGCCAGCATGGGGAAACTACAGGCCGTTTCATGACTTGCGGATTTCAACTCCCAGAATTCCTCAGTTATCATGGGGGAACTATGGCCCCTTCATGACTTGCGGACTTCAACCCCCAGAATTCCTCAGCCAGCATGGGGGAACTATGGCCCCTTCATAACTTGCGGACTTCAACTCCCAGAATTCCTCAGCCAGCGTGCCTGGCTGAGGAATTCTGGGAGTTGTAGTCCACGAGTCATAAAAGGGCCAAGTTTGAAGACCCCCTGTCATAAACTAACATGAGAAAGGAACCCCTGGATTCAAACTGGCATACAAACCCTGGTTACAGACACCACCTTTTCCCCTAGCCCCCTTCCGGTTTGACTCACGTAGGCCATGGCGTACTTGATTTTTGCTCCTTTCATTTCAGCTTTAAACTGGGTGAAAAAAAGGTAAGATTTCCCTTGCGGCCTGAAAGACAGAAAAAAAAAAAGACAAAATTGAAACGGAATTCAATTGTATATTTTATATTTGGCCAAACAGGATTAGACACCACAAGGAATTTTGTCTCCGGTACAGAAACGCTCAGTGTGTTTGCAAAGCAACAGAGAGAACAACAATAACGATAATACAAACAAAAGGGGGAAGTAGCAATTTAAAAGAGATAATAAAAAGCAGAAATAACAATGCGGGCAGTCCTCGGCTTACGACCACAACTGAGCCTCAAGTTTCCGTTGCTAAGTGAGACAGTTAGCTTCTCCATTGACTTTGCTTGTCAAAAGGTCACAAAAAGGGGATCCCGGTAGATTATATCCAGAATAAATATGAGACTAAAAAGTATTATTTAGCTTATGAGTAAATTTTAGATTATTTTTAATAGTTTAATATGGTTGAATTTACATTATTTTTAGTATTACTGTTTAATTATATTATTATTTTTAATTTGTTAATATTTACTTTGAAAAGGAGTTAAAGTATGTTATGGATTTGATTGTTAGTAGAGTTGGGTAATGTTAGTTAGATTATGATTGCTTATTTGCAACCCTGTAATCAGCTCTGGGAAGTGGGGGGGGGAAGGGTGGGAGGGATGGGGATTATATACTGTAAAATTTTTTTAAAACTTTTAATAAAAAAAGGGGGGGGGGATCCCGGGACACTGAAACCGTCATAAATGTGAGTCAGTTGCCAAACGTCTGAATTTTGATCATGTGACCATAGGGGACGGCTGCAACAGTCGTACGTGTAAAAACGGTCGTTAAGTCGCGTGTCATTTTGTAACTGTAATTCCAATTTTGAACGGTTACTAAATGAACCGTATAGGTTAATATAGAATAGCAATTAGACTTATAGACCGCTTCAGGGTGCTTTTACAGCAATTTACAGAGTCAGCCTATCTGGGTCCTCATTTTACCGACCTCGGAAGGATGGAAAGCTGAATCAACCGTGAGCTGGTCAGGATTGAACTGCTGGCAGTCGGCAGAATCAGCCTGCAATACTGCATTGGAAGGAAGGAAGGAAGGAAGGAAGGAAGGAAGGAAGGAAGGAAGGAAGGAAGGAAGGAAGGGCAATAGCAATAGACTTATATACCACTTCACAGTGCTTTACGGCACTTTATATACCACGGTCACAGTGTCCCAGGGTCATGTGAAGTGACCAAAACCTGCTGCAACCACCCAGCAGACGGGGGGGGGGGGGGCAGAATAAAAACCAACCCCCCCTGCTGCCAATCCTCACAACAATGAAATGCCTCACAACAATGAAAACCTCGGACAGGAGGAAGAGCACCGCAGGCAGGTGTCTTGCTCGGCTGTGCCTTGGGAGGGGGGCACTTTTTTCAGTGCCATTGTCACTTCAAACAGTCACTAAGCAAACTGTTGTAAGTCAAGGACTACCTGTGGTATCCAAAGCAGAACATCCAGATTCAGCCAGAGTTTCATTCCATACAGCATTAACCTTGTGAACTCTCAAGCTTCCTCCTTCCATTATATATTCAAGATGGACAGCGTTTAATATTTATTTGCTACGTATATATAGGGGTGTATGTCTATATATATGTTGTTCATAGTATGTTTAGGTGTGCGTCATGTATGTTTCACTTTGAGAGCGGGCAACTAAATTTCATTTTTTGATGCGTGCCGTTGTGCCCACAGTAAAAAAAATGACAATAAAGGTTATCTTATCTTATCTTAGTAAAAAGAAGGCTGTTAAGTGATGAATTAACATATTGTTTATGATAATTAACTGTTATCTATTATTGTTTGTTAAGCACATGAACCCCGACATTACGCTGTTTGCTAAATATTGAAAATGTTATTTGGAAAAACCCCAACCCTAACCCAAACCCCAACCCTAATCCTGACCCCACCTTATCCCTAACCTTTAAAAACTAATAAAATCTAGACCAGTGTTTCTCAACCTTGACAATTTTAAGGCATGTGGACTTCAACTCCCAGAATTCCACAGCCAGCAATGCTGGCTGTGGAATTCTGGGAGTTGAAGTCCACATGCCTTAAAATTGTCAAGGTTGAGAAACACTGGTCTAGACAAAAAAGAAAAAAAGGAACAAGGATATTGTAACCAGAACTGATAAGGAATTGGTGGGATGGAGAACTGGAGAGGAAGCCCACACTTCAAGCTAATTGGGGAATGTGATTTATGACTGTTAATTGGAGGAGGGAATTGTCCTTTGATACTATGTGGCCCAGGGGAGGGGAGTTCAGTTTTTGGCTTCGATTGTGCAGTGCCAATATTATGCTACTCGAATAAAAGATTCTTTAAGGTAAGCAATGCCTCGAAGTTCTTTTGAGGAGTTTCATCTGTCGGAACTGTGACACCTTCTACCCATAGCAGGGGGAAAAAAGCAAAACATACCTCCAGATTGAACAGGAAAACAGCGTCTTGTCGTCGCTGACCCCAATGATCATTTCCCATTGCTGAAAACAGAGAGAAGGGCAAATGTCAGTAAACAGTGAACACTTCTGCATATTTGCCTACTACGGATAAGTCGACAGCTTTGGGCTCCCTGGGTCAAGAGTAAGGCAGGCAAAGCACGCTGGGAAAGAATTTCTCGGCAGGAAAGCACACCCCAAAGAATCCGATGGCACGCGTGACAAACCCCCCCCCAACTTTGGCTGGAGCCTAACCAGAAACAACCCCCCCCACCAGAATGAGAGTCCAACCAAAGAGACTATTTGTAGCACAGGGTTGAACTGTGGGGTCCTTGGTGCTCCCTAAGCTGGGTGGTTTTCTTACAGGCGTCTCATGACCCAACTAGCTAACGTCATCAGGGTTGGAAGGGAGAGGGCTTTGTGGAGAGGAGGAGGACGACGACAATGACAACGATGACTGTGGGGTCCTTGGTGCTCTCTGAGCTTGGTGGTTTTGTTGCAGATGTTTCACGATCCAACTAGGTAACATCATCAGTGCTAGAAGGGAGTGGAGTTTGTAGAGAAGAGGAAGAGGGAGGGAGGGAGGGAGGGAGGGAGGGAGGGAGGGAGGAAGGAAGGAAGGAAGGAAGGAAGGAAGGAAGGAAGGAAGGAAGGAAGGAAGGAAGGAAGGAAGGAAGGAAGGAAGGAAGGAAGGAGCGTCTTGGTGCTCTCCGAGCTTCGTGGTTTTCTTGCAGGCGTCTCATGACCCAACTAGATAACGTCATCAGTGCTAAAAGGGAGACAAGTCTGCAAACAGGAGGAGGAAAGACTCTCCTTCCTTCCTTCCTTCCTTCCTTCCTTCCTTCCTTCCTTCCTTCCTTCCTTCCTTCCCTCCCTCCTTCCTTTCCTTCTTCCTCTTCTCTACAAACTCCACTCCCTTCTAGCACTGATGATGTTACCTAGTTGGGTCATGAAAAGTCTGCAAGAAAACCACCAACTCAGAGAGCACCAAGACTCTCCTTCCTTCCTTCCTTCCTTCCTTCCTTCCTTCCTTCCTTCCTTCCTTCCTTCCTTCCTTCCTTCCTTCCTTCCTTCCTTCCTTCCTTCCTTTTCTGTACAAACTCCACTCCCTTCTAGCACTGATGATGTTACCTAGCTGGGTCATGAAATGTCTGCAAGACATCAAGCGAGTTCAGAGAGCACCAACGACCCTACAGTCCTCCTCCTCCTTCCCCTCCACTCCACAAACCCTACTCCCTTCTATCACTGATGATGTTACCTAGTCAGGTAATGAAACGTCTGCAAGAAAGCAGCCAAGCTCAGTGAGTGCCCAGGTGTTGTCGTCGTCCTCCTCCTCCTCCTCCTCCTCCTCCTCCTCCTCCTCCTCCTCCTCCTCCTCCATTTCTCCTAGGGCTGTGACCTTCCCCCTGGGTAAGCCAGCATGCTGTACAGGAGTTCATTTTCACGAAATGCAGAGGTCTGTCCAGCATCTAGAATGGATCCGAGGATAAAAAACAACAACAAAAAAAAACCTCACCTCGTTCGTCCCACCTTGAGCTGCGTAGGTAAAATTGCAGGCAACGTCTCCCTGAAGAAAAGAAGGGAAGAAATGGTAGGAAAGACAATTTCACCAGCTTCAAACGCAAAAGGCCGGAGCTGCTTACATTTGCCTGATCACAAACTAATGAAAGACTGGAATTCACAGTCTCCTGGTGATTGGGCCCAAAGTCACCTAGTTGGTTTTTGTGGCTAAGGAAGGACTAGAATTCAGAGTCTCCTGATCATTGGGCCCAAAGTCACCTAGCCAGCTTTCCTGGCTAAGGACTAGAATTCACAGCCTCCTGGTGATTGGGCCCATAATCACCTAGCCAGCTTTCCTGGCTAAGGACTAGAATTCACAGCCTCCTGGTGATTGGGCCCATAATCACCTAGCCAGCTTTCCTGGTTAAGGACTAGAATTCACAGCCTCCTGGTGATTGGGCCCATAATCACCTAGCCAGCTTTCCTGGCTAAGGACTAGAATTCAGTCTCCTGGTGATTGGGCACAAAGTCACCTAGCCAGCTTTCCTAGCCAAGGAAGGACTGAAATTCAGTCTCCTAGTGATAGGGCCCAAAGTCAACTAGCTAACTTTTATAGCTAAGGACTATAATTCAGTCTTCCAGTTTCTAGCCTGACGCCTTAGCCACTAAACCAGGGGTAGGCAACCTTGGCTCTTTTACTGTATGACTTGTGGACTTCAACTCCCAGAATTCCTGAGCCAGCCATGCCGAGGGGAAAGGGAGAGGCTTCCAAGCTGAGCCAGGCTGGCTCAGGAATTCTGGGAGTTGAAGTCCACGAGTCATAAAGGGGCCAAAGTTTCCCCCATGCTGGCTCAGGAATTCTGGGAGTTGAAGTCCACAAGTCATAAAAGAGCCAAAGTTGCCTACCCCTGCAATCAATAACTTGCTGTAAGCTACCCTAACTGTAGTGAACATTGATATGTCCTATGTATTTTATAAATGATATTGTTACTAATAATAATCCAATTCCCATATTGCACAGCCATTCCCAGATATACCATGTCACCTCAGTTTTTTTTAATGCAAAAAGGCCCTCAGAAATATTCAAAACAAACACGGTTAGTGAGTCTGCAACCTATCCTGCCGCATTTGGCGGCACCCAACATCAAAGAAGGGATCGACAAGAGTTTCCTCCTCAGCTGAATTCAGACAACCTACTCAATGGGCTCACTTAACTGCGGCGGGAAAGGTCGTAAAATGGGGCAAAAACTCACTTGAACTCGCTTAACCACAGAAATGTTGGGCTCAGTTGTGGTTGTAAGTTGAGGACTACCTGGTAATCACTGGGAGTTAAGATCCTTAACTTTTTAAAACATTGACAGGTAGTCCTCGACCTATAACCGTTTGTTTAGTGACCGGCTGAAGTTGCAACGGCACTGGAAAAAAATGACATGACCTTTTTTCCACACTTCAGAACCATGTTATTAACAACTGTGCTGATTCACTGAACAACTGTAGCAAGCAAGGTCGTAAAATGGGGCAAAACTCACTTAACTAATGTCTCCTTTAGCAACAGAAATTGTGGTCGTAAGTCAAGGGCTACCTGTATACTTGATTTAACATTAAAAAAAAACTTCAGCAATAAGGGGGGGGGGAGGTAGGAATGCAATGCAAGGTGCAAAGCCTACAAAAAATCAAATTTACCTCCCTCTCGTGCCATTAAAAAAAAGGAAATTTTAATAGAAATGTTGGAATTCTATGGAAAGAAACTTAAAGGGGTAGCCACATAATTATAAAAAAATAAAAATTTAATTATTAAAAATTTAGGACGCAGGCTAAATGGAGTCAACGGCAAGTGCTGCCATCGCATCAGCAAAAGCGTGGCAGGGGCTCTACCCCGCTTTTACCCGGGGTAAATCTGGGGCACTAAAGTTCTGCATTTAGCCACTTTCTACGGAAGCTTGGCCGGGCCATACCAAAACGACGCTCCGTCTCCTCCCCACCTTCGGCTCCTAGCGGCCAATCACAGGACCACACAAAAGACCCACCCCTCCCGTGGACCAATCAGAAACTATCTTTTCGGGCGCAAAGACTCAACCCAACCAATCAGGAGGCGCCACCTATTCCTTCTACCCTGTTTCGCTCGCACTCGCTCGCTCTCACCAGGTTTTGTGAATACGAGTGTACCATACCGCCGGGCCTGACGTCGAAGTCGGCCGTGACGGACTCTTGCTTTGCCTCGACCGCCGAGAGAAGGAGCTGGAGGAGAAAGAAGAAGGACGCCGAGCTGTCCCAAAGCCTCCTGTTGCCGAACAACCTGGGCGCCACCATCTTGGAAGAAGAAACGAAAAAACTGGGGCCAGCTGATTGGGCTACGGGGAGCTGGAGCAGCCAAATCGCGTTTTAATCTGTTAGGCGCAGGCGCTTCTATTTCCGGAAGGCCAAGGCGGCCATCTTTTAAGCGGGCGCTAGCGGATATTCAGTGGGCGTTGCCAGATCTGGGCTGTTAACGACCTCTAGAGGGCAGCAAATAATGCCAAACATTAGGGCCTCTCTGCTGCCATTGGCTAGCTGGGGAATTCTGGGAGTTGGAGTCCACGCATCTTCCAGTGGCCTCAATTGAGAAACTTGAGAGAAGCGGAAAATCAATGTTTACTATGAAAAATTATCTGTAATTCTTGGTCTTGACCTCTCTCTCTATAGGCAACTGGTGTTGGTCCTATCACGCAACACCAGCAGGAAGAGTAAGATGAGGTGGTACCTAAATTTAATAAATAAATTAAAATAAGTGTAAATAGCTGCATTATTATTAGGACCCAATGGTACTGCTACAAAGGTTAGAAAAAGAGAAGCTGGGGGAAGGAGGAGCAAAGAGCTAGTTTGGTCTAGGGCAGGGGTAGGCAGCCTTGGCTCTTATGACTCATGGACTTCAACTCCCAGAATTCCTGAGCTCAGCTTGGAAACTTCTCCCTTTCCCCTCAGCATGGCTGGCTCAGGAATTCTGGGAGTTGAAGTCCATGAGTCATAAAAGAGCCAAGGTTGCGTACCCCTGATCTATCTATCTATCTATCTATCTATCTATCTATCTATCTATCTATCTATCTATCTATCTATCTATCTATCTATCTATCAGGGGTAGGCAACCTTGGCTCTTTTATGACTCGTGGACTTCAACTCCCAGAATTCCTGAGCCAGCATGGGGGAAACTTTGGCCCCTTCATGATTTGTGGACTTCAACTCCCAGAATTCCTGAGCCAGCATGGTTCAGCTTGGAAACCTCTCCCCTCAGCATGGCTGGCTCAGGAATTCTGGGAGTTGAAGTCCACAAGTCATGAAGAGGCCATAGTTTCCTCATGCTGGCTCAGGAATTCTGGGAGTTGAAGTCCACCAGTCATAAAAGAGCCAAGGTTGCCTACCCCTGGTCTAGGGGTTAAGGCACCAGGCTGAAAAATGGGAGACTGTGAGTTCTAGAACTTTTGTAGCTATGAAAACTGACTGGGTGACTTTGGGCCAATCACCAGGAGATAGTGAGTTCTAGTCCCGCCTTAGGCATGAAAACCAGCTGGGTCACTTTGAGTCAATCACCAGGAGGCAGTGAGTTCTAGTCCTCCCTTAGGCATAAAACATGGACGGTTGACTTTGGGCTAGTCACTGACTCTCAGCCTAATCCACCTCACAGGACTGTTGTAGGGAAAATAAGGGGAGGAAGGTGTGTTGGATATGTTCTCTGCCCTGGGTTATTTGCAAAAATAATAATGGCAGGATGCATATAAATAAACTGAAATAGGATAGATAGATAGATAGATAGATAGATAGATAGATAGATAGATAGATAGATAGATAGATGACAGACAGGTAGATAGATAGATAGATAGATAGATAGATAGATAGATAGATAGATAGATAGACAGACAGACAGACACAGATGACAGACAGACAATGATAGATAGATAGATAGATAGATAGATAGATAGATAGATAGATAGATAGATAGATATAGATAGATGACAGACAGGTAGGTAGATAGAAAGATAGATAGACAGACAGACAGACAGTTGTCAGGTCCATATTGACTCTTAATGTCCACATAAATAAGACTTTCTCCAAAATGATAGGTGCTCAGCCTGTGTAAGGACCCACCCTACTTTGCATCTTAAGAAGACAGAACTCTTGGAATATTTCTTCCAACAGGCATCCTTTATTAAGAGAAAATGGTTGCAGACGTTCTAGACAGGACCTGGGGCCCAAGCCCTACGGTTCAAGGTTTTAAGGGGTCCCCAGCAGCCCCACCCCATCTCACTATCTTTCTAGCGACAATCCCAGGCATTACATTTCCACCCCCTTTTTCCTCACTGCCGGTGGAAGGGAGACTTCAGAGGGGAGTAGATGAAAGCTGATGGCCCCGTTGTTATGCTTCAGTCCTTTTGGTGGTATCCACATTCAATCCCTTTGAAGTTGTACCGAAGGAAGTGAGGGCCATAAGACCCATTTGTTCACCCCCCTTCCCCTTCATCGTGTGACTGAATCCAGAGAGGGCAGAAATGGGGTTTTCCATAGTCGATAACTAGAGATGAAATATAATTGGATTCTTGACAGCCTGGCCTTAAGGTCTCTCTATTGGTGCATTTATTACTGTTATAAATGAATCCATCTACCACGTTGCTTATTTCCTTTCCTCCCATATTCCCCATGTCACACATGTTCCTGAGGGTTTCTTCACCAATTTTAATAGCCACGCTCATTTCCTTACAATCCCTCTGGGCGATACACTGCTCTTTTATTGCTTTTTAAATGTGAGCTCTCGGAGTTATTCCGAAACTGAGCCAACCCTCAAAAAAAAAAAAAAACATGTCTCATGAGTAAATTCAACTTCCCTCGAGATAATAATAATAATAATAATAATAATAATAATAATAACAACAACAACAACAATAACAACAACAACAACAGTAGTAGCAGTAGTAGTAAAGTTGGAAGGGACCTTGGAGGTCATCTAGTCCAACCCCCTGCTCAGGCAGGAAACCCTAGAGTGCAGTACTGCAGGCCACTTTAGCTGACTGTGTTCAGCAGGTCAGCGGTTCAAATCTCACTGGCTCAAGGTTGACTCAGCCTTCCATCCTTCCGGGGTAGGTAAAATGAGGACCCAGATTGTTGGGGGGCAATGTAAATATATATATACATTGCTTACTGGTGTACACCGCTTAGAGAGTGCTTGCACTTAAAGCGGTATATAAGTCTCATAAATAAATAAATAAATAAATTTCGGACAAATGGCTGTCCAGTCTCTTCTTAAAAACTTCCAGTGTTGGAGCATTTACTGCTTCTGGAGGCAGGTGGTTCCCCTGGTTAATTGTTCTCACTGTCAGGAAGATATACTCGGCGTCCTGATTGCATTATCTCGTAATGATAGCCGAGGCAGATCGTGAAAAATGGGAGTCAGGTGAAATATAAAGAGAACCAGACTCATGATAATATGTACGTCCACCGGCTATAGAACTGACAAAATATTAACATGGCCAAGAGCTTCTGCCTTTTTAGGATCAACCATCAAGAGGAAGAGAACTGACACCCAGGCGGTCAGATACAACCCAACATTTCAGAAATGACTTCATTGCATTTCTGATATTGGAGATTCCGCCAAATGAATGCTTTGTTTAAATATAACAGTCCAATGCAGTAAAAAACATTATACGTATTAACAGAAAAACAAAGTTGGAAGGGACATTGGAGGTCATCTAGTCCCACCCCCTGCTCAGGCAGGAAATCCTATACCATTTCAGACAAATGGCTGTCCAGTCTCTTCTTCAAAACTTCCAGTGATGGAGCAATTCACAATTTCTGGAGGCAGGTTGTTCCGCTGATTAATTGTTCTCACTGTCAGGAAGTTTCTCCTTAGTTCCAGGTTGCTTCTCTCCTTGATGAGTTTCCACCTGTTGCTTCTTGTCCTGCCTTCAGGCGCTTTGGAGATTAGCTTGACTCCCTCTTCTTTGGGGCAGCCCCTGAGATATTGGAAGGCTGCTATCACATCATCCCTAGTGCTTCTTTTCATTAAACTATCCTATTCCTGCAATCATTCTTCATATGAAGACCTATGGCTATCCTATTGCAACTATGCCCCACCACAGGTGAAGGTGAGCAATTGGGATGTTTCTCCTGTCAATCAGAATAGAGCTGGAAGGGACCTTGGAGGTCTTCTAGTCCAGCCCCCCTGTTTAAGCAGGGGACCCTATACCATGTCAGACAAATGGTTGTCCAATCTCTTCTTAAAAAATTCCAGTGATAGAGTGTCCACAACTTCTGGAGGCAAGTTGTTCTGCTGGTTAATTGTTCTCGCTATTAAGTTTCTCCATAATTCCAAGTTGGTTCTCTCCTTGATTAGTTTCCATCCATTATTTCTTGTTTTGCTTTCTGGTGCATTGGAAAACAGGTTGATCCCTTCATCTTTGTGGCAGCCCATCAAATACTAGAATATTACTATCGTGTCAATCAATCAATCAATCAATCAGCATAGAGCTGCAACAGACCATAGAGGTCTTTTAGTCCAACCCCCTGCTCAGGCAGGTAACCCTATACCAGTGGTTCTCAACCTGTGGGTTAGGACCCCATTTGGGGTCGAACGACCATTTCACGGGGGTCGCCAAACAACGCAGTCCGCCATTTTTTCCACCCTTTTTCTTAGCTGTGCTACTCCCTTTTATTCTATTGGCTTTTGAAAGCCAATAGAATTAGACTCTATTCAAGAGAGTCTATTCTATTGGCTTTCAAAAGCCAAGAGGAATTGTCCAGGCTGTCTCTGCCCTGCTGTGCCCGCCAAAAGTCCCAGTCTGCAAACGGTGCTGCAGAATGAGAAGTTGAGTAGTCCTCGACTTATGATCGGTTGAGTAGTCCTCGACTTACAACCGGTTGGGGGTCGCAGCATTAAAAAGGTTGTGAACCACTGCCCTATACCATTTCAGACAAGTGGCTGTCCAGTCTCTTCTTAAAAACCTCCAGTGTTGGAGCACCCACAACTTCTGGTGGCAGGTTGTTCCATTGGTTGTCTTCACTGTTAGGATGTGTCTCCTTAATTCTGAGTTGTTTTGCTGCTTAATTAATTTCCATCCGTTGCTTCTTGTCCTGCCTTCTGATGTTTTGGAGAGTAGCTTGACCCCCTCCTCTCCTTTGTGGCAGCCCCTCAAATACTGCAAGACTGCTATCATGTCTCCCCTTGTCCTTCTTTTCTCTAGACTAGCCAAATCCAAATCCTGCAACCGTTCTTCATATGAAAACCTGTGGCTTTTCTTCTGTAACTGCCCACCACAGGTCAAGGTGAACAATCGGGAGGTTTCCCC